GGAGGCGTGGCCTGCTGGGCTGGCCGGCCACCGCCCCGTGGGGCACCGAGCTGGCCGCGGGCCCTGCTTTGCTCTGTGCATGCTGAGGACGTGGCCTGGCTGCCGCATGCCCACGGCCTCCTGCCCCGCTGCCCTGCTCAGACTGGACCTAGACCGGTGAGCGCCCCCTGCCTGGCCTGCCAGCTAGCCGCGGCAGCCCGCCTGATCTCGGGAGGGCTCACCTGCCTCTCACCACCCCTCGCTCCCCCCACCCCCGGCCCAGCTTTGCTTTGACACCGAGTCACATTTCTTTCCTTTCGGCCCCTGCCCCTCCCCTGCCCTGGCTTTGCTGATTGGCATCATCACCCAGGTGTGGTTCCCGTAGCAACCTGTTGCATAGCCTGGTCAGGGTCCTTCAGGAGAGCAGGGTGGGGAGGCAATCACGTGGTCGCCTCTCCCCAGGGCCAGCTAGATTTCGGTGGCCTTTTCCAGACCTCCCCGAGGACCGCTCTGCCTCATGGCTGATGGGCTGTGCCCTGTGAATCTCACTAAGCCAGGCCGCTGCCAACACCACTGAGCCCACAGCTTCTCCCAGCCTGAAACCGACCTATTTTTTAATAAGTTATTTAGACAGAATAGCACTCTGCATGACTTTAATTCTTGGGACAAAATGGTAGTTTATACCTAACACACGCACACGCACACGCACACACACACACACACACACACCTGTGTGGTCTAGAATATGCACTATTTCTGGCCCAGTGTGGTGGGGGCGGGTGGCTGGGTGGGTGGAGGGTTTCAGATTTTGAAATCTGAAGGGAGACCCTGATTTAGCATTCTTTCCCTCAAAAGAGCATTCCTGGCCTGTGAGGAGGCCCTGGGCTGCCCCTGTGCAGCCTTGACTGGTGGGGCTGAGGTCAGGATGGCAGCGCATTCCCTGCTGCCTTTGGGAGGGCAAGTGCTGTCCAGCTTGGCTGGGTGGTGGGGCGGCCCAGCCGTGCTCCCAGCGTCTCCCTCCTGAGGAGGGAGGCGGCGATCAGGTGTGAGGTGGCCTGGACAGGGGGGAGGAAAGGGGTCGTTGGCACTGCTCACGTCTCCAGCTTGTAAGCCTGGACCCGGCCATGGTGGCAGGAGGGCCCTAAATGCCCACCGAGGCCCCTCTATTTCGGGAGCTGGGAGGGGGAGTGGCAGGCACGGTGGGCCATGGAGCTGGGTCCTGCGTAGGGGACACAGACGGGACGTTCTTAGAAAGGCACTTCGGAAACTAGCAAACTCGCGAAGCAAGCCCAGTTTCCCGAGGGGCCTTTCATGCTGTCGGCACTTGAGATATTTGCAGAACATTGTATAGACCCCGCTCTCCTCTGTACATTTCTCCCTGGTGGCGTCCGGTCCCTGCTTGGGGATGGGAGTTTTGTAGACTGTACAGAAATCGGCACCCTATTTTCTTGCAGCTCTCAGATTTTGTTAATCTGGATTATACAGACAGACGTAAAGTGTTTTAGCAAAATGGAAAACAAACAGTTGTGCCTTTTTCCTCTTTTTGTTTGGTTTGGTTTTGGCTTGGGGCGGCCTTAGTTGGTATGGGGCGTGTTGGGGCTGTGGCTGGTCTGAGGCCTGGCGGGGCAGGAAGGGCGGTGGGCGCCACGCGGGCCCAGCATGGTGGGCTGTGTCTTGTCAGTGGTAGCTTGGGGATGCTGCCAGCTTCCGTTGATCCTGTGCCTTTGGAGCCCCCCGCCCCCTGGTGTGGGGACGTGTGGGTGGGGGCCGTCGGAGCCCACTGGGGCTGCAGCAGAGGCCGGGGCTCTGGAGCTTGCCAGCATCTGGGGGACGTTGGCCAAAGCGTGTCGCCGGGCTTGCTCCTGGGCAGACGTGTGGCCCTCTCCTGTCCTGCTGGCGTCTGTCTGTCCGTATAGGATCTGTGGGTGGGCTGCAGTGTCTCCCCAGCCCCACCGCGGTGGTGGCCAAAGGCACCAGCCGGCTGCACCCTGTACTTGGGACAGGGCCTTCGCCTGGCCCGTGTGCAGCTTGGCAGCCCCTGAGATCACTGGGGGAGCAGATCCCCCATCCTTCCCCTGGGCCGGAGGCTGGGCACACTCGTGGGGAACGCCTGTCCCTGGCTGGCCACTTCCCTCCAGCCTGGGAGCTAACTCCTCCACAAACATGCACCAAGATATGAATTTTATACATTTGTAGAAATCCTGATGTTACTTCTTCTACCTCTGTGAAGCGTCTGCCTGGGGTTCTGCTCAGTGGTGTATCTGGGCAGCTCTCTGCATTGTCAGGCCCTGGGCCCCCTCCCTCTCCCTGCTGGCCTCCTGGGCCTCCCCCAGTGGCTCCTGCCGAGGCCCCGGAAAGCCGGCCCCCAGGCGTGGCACCCATGTTCGGGAGACAGGGCTCCCAGGACTTTTGGAAGCCTCTGTTTTTGGATGGGCAAGCAGGAGGTGGAGTGTTCCAGACTGTCTGTTAGATGAGCCTGGAACACAAACCCAGTGGGCAGCTCAGGGCAGTGGGATGCAGGACAGCTGAGAACTCTAGCCCCTCCGGCTGGCCCAGTGCCACCAGCGTCCCCCAGGTATGGGGTCTTCGGAGACCTGGCCCCTGAGGGTGGTGGCCACACTGAGTTGTCTGCGGGTGCTGAGGCCAGCCGTGTGGAGGCTCGTGGTGACGTCTGTCCCCTTTCCCCCGTACCCACGTCCAGCCTGGCTTCCCACTGCTGCCCTTGGGTGGATGGGGCAGAGAGATGGGCCAGCCTGCCTCAGGGAAGGGGGGGCAGCCCTGGGAGAAGGCCTGAGCTGGGAGGCCCTACAGCTGGGCTGAGGCCACGAGGTCCTTGGGCAGCCCCCATCCTGCCCTGGGCGTCCTTCCTCAGAGAAGGCCTTTCCAGGGGACAGGCTGGGGGCTGCTCCTCAGATGGCTTCCTTGGGAATCTGGCAAGTGCTGGGGAAGCTCTCTGGGCCACAGGGAGTCACGCAGTGTGAGTGCCCGCCCCGGCTGGCCCCATGTGGCCTTGAGCCTGGGCCCTCGCTGGGCTGGGGCCAGGTCAGGGGCTGAGCGCCCCTGGAGCCACCCTGCACGCCTGTCTGTGTCCAGGGAATGGCTGACAGCCCGGCCCCCCCTCCCAGCAGGTGGGCAGCATGGGTCCTGACTGTTTTGGCCACGGCCAGTGTCCTGTGCTGGCGGGCCTTCGGCTGAGGCTTTTGGGGCTTGTGCCGTGGGCTGGGTGTGGGGCAGATCCTGGAACGTTTGCCCCTTGTTGCCGGGAGCGGGGCCGCCCAGGGCCCGGGGTGGAGGAGGAGGGGCCCGACCTGCCATTGTTGGATGTATTTTTTTTGTTTTAACAGCAATAATTAGCCATTTTGAAGAAGGGGTGTGTCTGTGTGTGTGCGCGTGTGCACACGTGTATGTGTGCCGCTGTGTATATGCACACGCATGCTCGTGCATGCGTGTACACGCACACGCACGTGCACGCCTGTGTCTTGTGTATCTGCACGTGTGTGCACACACGTGTGAGTGTGCGGCGACAGGGAGGGGGCCTCCTGCTGCAGCTCGCGTGGGCTGGTGCTCAGCCCCACGCTGAGACACAGGGGCCCCGGCTCCGTGCTGTGCTTCCTTCTCCCGGGCCGGCCCCAGGGCCCAGTGGACCTGGAATGTAGTGCTCCTTCCCCCCCCAGCGGAGGGCACTGGGCAGGCCTGTGTGTAGCGGGGGGCCCGGGATAAGCCTTTGCCTGGGTCTCCGGGGAGGATGGCGGGGTGGACGCTCAGCCAGACCAGCCGAGATCAGATTTGACGACATGGCGCCACCTTGGTTAGGCTGTTTGACCACAGCCGCTGTGGACGCCGTGTCTTCGGGCGAGCAGAGCCCAGATCATGGCATGGTGGCTGGGTTCACTTCCTGTGGTTTGCTGTTGATGACCCCACAATTGTGGCAACTGTCCAAGACCCCAGGATGTGCCAGAACAGCCCTCGAGAGGGTCCGGAGGGGCAGGGGAGACAGGCTGCAGGGGCAGGTGGGGGTCCCAAGCTTCCTGTGGGTGTGTGAGCAGCGGGGGGTGGGGGGACAGTGCCGTGGGTCTGCCCGCACGGCCCCCAATGCTGCTGTTTTTCAATAAAACCAGAGTTGATGGAACTGGACTCCTGTGCGTTCTTGAGGCGCGCTGCTTTTCTGCAGATGCTGGACTCCTCCTTGGGGACCGGGGTAGGCGCTGGGGTGACCTCTGGAGCTGAGGCTGCTGTCCCTGCGCTGGCCGCCCTGGCCGGGCTCCACCGCAGGCCTGGGCATCCGCCTGCCCACTTGGCACCTCTGAGGAGCAGCTCAGCTCTGAGGGGCTCAGGTGAGGGCGTCAGGCCCACCTCCCTCCTAGGGACAGTGAGGTGCTGTCCGGCCCCAGATAGCTCAGCGCAGGGCCCTCCCTTGGTAGAGGAGCAGCCTTGGTTCATCCCGTCCCCAGGGTCGGCCTCCCACGGCAGGAAGGCTTTGGACAGGCTCTAGGATCAGCCAAGTCGAAACCAGTGTCTGTGGTCTTGAGGCCTGAGGGCCCAGCTTCTTTAGGCAGCACACTCTGGTCCTCGCTGGGCGGGGGCACGAGGCTCGTTTGGACATCAGCCTGGGGCCGGTGTGCAGCCCAGCAGTGGCCGTGCCTCCGAGGTGACCGCATAAAGACAGGCCCCCAGAGGCGTGGCCACCGCCATGCACACAGGCACGTGGACAAGCAACATAGGCCCGAGGCTGGCATGGAGGGGACCAGCTCTCCAGACTCTGGAATGTTCTATCACACAGTGGTCAGGCCTGGCCATACAGATCCTCGTGCACCCCGTGGAAACAGTGACATTATCCTGAAGCCACGAGAAAAGTGGGCCTGGGCCCGGTAAGCAAAGTGGGCTCCACACAGGAGGCGGCGTGTAAAGCCCAGTCACCGCCTACCTGAGCAGCTCCGGTGCAGGTGGGAGGGGGCGCCTCGCCCGGATCCACGGCTGCATCTGGGCGCCCATCAACATGTCCCTCCACCCCAACAGGTGCCGTGGGGATCCTCAGAATCCAGACAGGGAAGCACATGAGAGGGGAGACCCTGGGGTGCCAGGATGGCCTGGAAGCAGGACCCCCAGGGGTCCCTTTGCAGGAGCTGTGAGGGAGAGGCAGCTGAGCAGAGGTGCAGGAACGGGCTGGGCTGCAGTCCCCCCTGTGGCACGGACTACCCAAGTGGGCCTGTACAATGTGCCTCCGTGTCCCCACTGTGCAAGGGGGGACACCGTGAGGCTGTTGGGGTGCACGGTCTGGGAGAACCACTTTGAGAGGAGGGTCAGGGGGAGCTGGTTGGCCCCCAGGGACTGGTCACCAGCCGGCAGAAGTTTCATGGGGAGGCTGGGGGGCCCAGGAATGTTGACTCCAGAGGCCCCGACGGCCTGGCCGGGCACATGGGAGTCAGCTGTGAGCACAGAGCCCGTGGCTGCCCCGCTGTGCTCTCCTTATGCACCGCTGCTGTCCGGGTGGCCTGGGAGGAGGGGCGCCCCTGTGGCTGTGGGGAGCTCGGGGGGCCAGCAGAGAGGGCTCCAGCCTGCTGGCAGCTCCTTGGGCACCGGCTCGGCGCTGAGCAGCTGTCCACCTGGAGGAACGCACCCGGGCTCCGTGGGAGAAGGGCTGGGGGTGCCTGCTGTGGGCCAGGCTGGGCCACTCCCTCTGGCCGAGGGGCTCAGCGCTGTGGGCATGGCGTTTCCCATCCACGGGAAGAATTCATTTGCACAGAGTCTCGGCCCGCTTTGAATAAGGCTTTTACTATAGGGGACAACCCAGGGGGTGAACGTGGCCCTCTCCAGGTCCTGCTCTAGCTGCCCAGTGCCGACCTTGGGGAAGGCCACACAATGGGCTGGTGGAAACCAGTTCTCTCCTCCCACTGTTGCCTGGGGCTACAGACAAAATGAAGGCAAAAAATGCACGCACCAGGGTAGGTGCTGACAAGGGGGCTGGCGCTGGCTGGGTGGTTGCTTGGAGACTCAGCAGGACGTGGGCTGGGCCGAGGGCCTGGGGGCCTCCTGCGGCGGCACCAGGTGCCCCCACGAGTGGCCAGCACTCAGGCTCACCTTCAGGGGCACCTGTGGGCAGCAGCAGCGGTGAGCACCGGGCCCAGGCTAGCCTTCCCGGCCGGCTCCCAAGCCCACATGCAGGTGGGCATGGGTCCCTGGTGCCAGGAAGCCACTTGGCCCAAAGACATGACTAGACATTGTGGACAGATGCATGCACACACTCTCAGTGACAGGCAAACGGGCACCCCCAGGTCAGAATACCTCAACCATGGCTGAGCTCCCGGCTGACCTGCCAGGGCCTCTGTGCCAGGGAGCAGGCCTGCAGGTGCCTCACGGGCTCACCACCTCAGGGTCCTGCTCCCTGGGGTCAGTTGGCTCTGAGAGATGCCAAAGGGGGGCCTGCAGAGCCCTCCCAGGGACCCTAACCCTGAGAGGGACTTTGCCAAGGCCCTTGACCACGGCTCAACAGCTCCCTCTTGGCGCGGAGGATGGGGGCTGCCTGTAGCTGCCCATCAGGAGCAGCCCCTCTGCTCCCTGCAGGACTACAGGTGGTGGTGGGGGTGGGGGGGGGGGGCTCCTGGGCCTCCAGGAACTACAGGCCAGGTGCGGGCGGGCAGTAGCCTGGGGGCTTAGGTGCGGCCGGCAGGGCTGGATGTCCTGTGTCCTGGCTCTCTTGCCCCGTGGGAGCGGGGCTCTCCTCTCCCGACCGGGTAGCTCTGGCTGGGAGTGGCCAGCTGGGAGGAGCCTGGCAGAGTTGAGTGTGACCCGCCCGACTCCCCTCCCTGCCCCTCACCTGCAGCTGTAGCTCCAAGGCCCGCACGTTCCGCAGGGACTCCATGGTCCCCCTGACAAGAGCTGGAACAAAGGGAAAAGAGGGAGAGGGGCAGCCCCAAGCCATCTGGGCAGAGATGGGGCCATCATGGGAATGCCCAGGCCCCGGCCCTGCCCTGGCCCCCAGGCTCCCCAGTTATTCCGAGTCCACATGGTCAGCTGCGCTGATGGGTCCAGCAGCCCCAGCATTACCCTGTGGCTGGTTCCACTGACCACATCCCTAGCACAGGCCTGAAGGCACCTTAACTGCTCCAGCCATGGTTGCCGGGGGCAAGTTTCTCTGCTGCCAACCTCACCCCCAGTCCCAGGCTCAGCCAGTGGAGGCCTGGGCAGGTGGGGCTGGGGGCAGGACTGTGCCTCGGCCTCCAGCTCTGTCCAGAGGCTCTGGGGCTGGGAAGAGGAGGGAGGGTAGGGCAGCCCTGGCTGGAGCAGTGGGGCCCACCAAATGGCCCGTGAATTTGCATGTGATGGTAAAGCCGGGAAGGGCAGCTCTGTGGTGCTGGTGGGTTGGCCCGGCTGTGTGGCCTCAGTCACCATGGGCCAGTTACCCTCCAGCCCTGAGAAAGGGAGCAGCCCAGGCAGGGGAGGGGTCAGCTGGCTCAGTGTTTCTTGGAGTTGGCTCGGAGCTCTTTTGCTCCTCTGATCAAGAAATATTTCATTTTATCTTACTAAGTTATCTGCAATTTTCGGTACAAAGATTGTGACAGAAAGACCCCCCGAAGGGGTGGGTACTGCCTTGTTCTCCCCTCCCTGGCTCTGGGATTAACCTGCCAACTCCCTGGGGACCGGTCTCTGGGTGCCTGGTGGGACAGCGGCTACCGAGGGCTGTACACCTGAGCTCTGTGGCCTCGTTTCCTTCTCTGTGCTGTGCACAGGGTCATGGCGGGGGGCAGGAGGCTGGGGTGGAGGTTGGGGCGTAAGGCTGCAGGGTAACTGGACTCCCCCGCCCTTCTGGCCTGCACATCAGGGCCCTGCAGAGGGGCCACAGCCACACTGGGGAGCTTCAGGGGTGTCCAGGTGCTTCCTAAGGGCAGGAGGCAGGACCTTGGCCTCCCTCACCCTACTGGGGAAATACTGGCTGTGCGGGGAACCACCCTCCCGAGGGATGGAGTCCCCTCTGCAGGATGGAGTCCGCACACTTAGCATCCAGTCTGCACATTTAGGATGGAGTCCCCACTGTAGGATGGAGTCCGCACTCTAGGACCAAGGGCCACAAGGCCAGCAAGTCCAGAAGGGGAGTCCCCATCATCTAAGAGCTCTGATGCTGAGGCAGACCCCACAGGGAGGACTGGGGCATGGCCAGGATGGGGTAGGTCCACTCAGCACGGGGCAGGGAAGTGGCCTGGAATTCCCACAGGGGGCAGACGCCAGCCAGCCAGGGGAGCCGCGTTAGCTATCCGGGAAGTCAAAGCAGCTTTGTGCTACCCAGGCTCACTTGCAAACTCTGGAATCTGTGAATCTTCCACCTCAAATAGCAGCTCATCATGAATTTGGGCGACCAACCTGGAAGACACGGTGGTCTGGGGGGGGGAGTCACCCTGAGATGTGACCTCTGGATCCCATGCTTTGCATGGGGCACCATGGAAGGTTGTGGCACAGGGTGCTCTAGAGGATGTGACTGGGTGGGGAGTGGGAAGACCCGGGAAGACCCCTGCTGCCTGGGGTCCCCTGACTGTCACCAGAAGAGTCTCCAGGGAAGAGGGGAGCACAGGTTAGAAGTGACCCCAGCCTCTGGATCCCATCACAGGGGGCACCTGGGACACCCAGCCAGGACTGGACGTAAACGTCTTCCCACAGAGTTGAGGCCGCCAGACCTCAGCAAGTCGCTGCTTGTGGGTCTCAGGAGGGCTTAGGCTCAAGTGACGGGGGCCAGCAGGTACATGCATTCTGTGGAGGGTGGGATCTGGGTTGACGTAAGTGCTTTGGGTGGATGACGCCTGCCATGAGCTGTGGCCCAGGGCAGAGGAACGTGGCTTGTTCTGCGCACTCAGGGAGGGGAGGTGTGGTGCAGATGACCCACAGGAAAGATGGCGGACGTCAGGGAGGGACCTGTGTGCTCTGCCCTTCGTGTGACTTGCTGTCTCCAGGACTGGGCCTTCGAGGTCAGAGGCCACATCTGGTCCTTGTCATTTTGCAGGCACCGTGTGGGAGGGAAGAGGCAGCAGGCAGAGGCTCTAGGAAGGCAGGGCTGCCCAGGAGAGGTGTGGCAGGGCCCCATGCACAGGAGTCGTGGCAAGCCCAGCTGAGAGAGGGAGCAGCTCTTCCAATCACAGGGCAGAGATGAGCGCTGCTGCCACGTTCGTGGGGCCCACGGCTTTGCTGCAGGGCTTCCTGCCGGTCCTGCGGGGAGAGGATCCGCCCGACATTCTGGGCTGCCCTCCGGAAGCCAGAGCAGGCTGGTGGCACGGCCCGCGATGGGGTCTTCGTTCCCACGGGATCTTCGTTTTCAAATTGGCAGAAACTCAGAAGAGGCCCTTGTTCCTTCTTTCAGATTTAGCAGCATCAGCGTTCACACTTCTTGAAATGACGCTGTGAGTTCTGAGCCACCAGTGTGGCAGCGACCTAAGAATAGGCCTGAGTTGTTAGTCACTTACACATTGCTCCCACAGCTGACGGCGACGTTCCCGGGCGTCCAGCTGGAAACGGGGGCACGAGACAGAAGAGGAGCAGGGACGCCGTGTGGGGCAGCTGAGTGTGCGAGTCAGACTCCGCTGCTCCTGAGGAGTGATTGCCCACTGTCCCGCTGTCCTGCTGTCCCCGACGACGCTCCTGTGAGCGAGTGCTCCAGCAGAGCCCGTCCTCCTCGGCGCCCGCCGCTGGCCTGGCCCTGTCATCTCCCTGTCACCGCCCCGCACGCTTCCCGTTTCGCCCCTCCCAGCCTTAGGAGCAGGCCCGCGGCTGCCCTGCCGTCTCACAGGGTCCAGGCTCATCCAGGCCGCTCCCCACTTGGCCGAGTCTCTTGCCTCCTGGACCCCCGGCACCTTCTCCGCTCGTTTCTGAGGCCGGGAGATTGAGTGCCGCACCGCACGGTGGTGAGCAAGGCCTGGCCTCGGGGCGTCCTCGGTTTGCTGCTGCATGGCGAGGTGGCCAGAGGTCAGAGGGTCCCCCTGGTGGCGAGCCAATGACCCCGTCTTCCACAGAACACCCCGCATCTTCCTGGCTATCCCTGCACCCGAGGGCAAAGGAGCAGGTGAGGGCCTTCCAGAGGCGGCCGCCGTCCAGAGCCGGGGAACCAGGCGGGTCTCCTGGTCCTCTCGGTGCCGGGGGCACAGTGTGAGCAAGAGCTGTGGCTCTGCGGCTTGGGCTGGGAGGCCCAGCGCCGGTCCAGCTCTGCATGAGCTTGGACGTGGGTGGGCTCCGAGCCTCAGTTTCCCCTTGTCTACACTCATGTGTTAGAGCCAACCATCTCTGAAGCTTCTTTCTGACTCCAACATGTTCTGAAACCTAGAAAGGCCTTTTCACAGAGGCCCCATGTCCTGAGAGGCCCAGAGGCAAGCCCTGAGTGTTGATGACTGAGCCAACAACTCGCAGCTGGAAGCTTGCCTGCCTTCTTGCTCTGGGCCCGGGGGCCGCGAGGGGAGGCCGGCCTGTGGCTGCAGGCCACGGGGGCCTGGGGGTGACTGGGTGAGGCTCTCCGGGTACCTGCTCTGCTATGGACAGCCACGAGCCTCTGAGATGCGTTCCGTGCCCTCACACATGGCTCGCGGTGGCCTATTCTAAACTCGATCCAAAACTTCTCCCATTGCTCCGGGAAGAACAGAGCAGAGTCAGAAAGGCCCCAGATTCCACACTGAACTGCTTTGTGTTCTAACACAACACTACACATTTGCCATGGGAAGCATTTTCCAAGGACGGTGAAGCCTGAGAGAAGGGCAGCTGGGTGCCAAACCCCGGAGCAGGAAACGTTCGTGCTCAGCTCTGGACTCAGTTATCTAAGAAGACCCCAAGTCCTCATGTACCATCTTCCTTTATCAATTCCACAAAACCCCAAAATGGATCAGACTTCTCTGGACTACGGTATCACAGATGCAGAACCACTGTGTGGCCTTCGGTTCCGGCCGAGGTGGTGAGTTACACAGGCTCACGACCCCTCTTAAATGTACCCTACAGAAAGCACATCAGGGGGCAGGACGCAGGGGTCAGAGGACTGGAGGCCCAGCACGCGCTGGCGTGTGTGGGAGGCGGGGGGAGCAGACGGACATGGGGGCAGGAGAAACTCTGAGAGGAAAGCATCTCCCGTTCTGCTCTTGCCTCTGTCCCCCCGGTGGCAGCAGAAACCGGAGACGTAGCCCAGACCCCACTGCAGGTGCCCGCGGTTACTTAAGCAGTGGATCTCAGACAGCCACCCAGCATCGCTCCTTCCCAGGCCCAGGCGGCAGCGGCCGAGGCCCCCTCCCCATGCTGCTCCTCCCTGAGGCGGGCGGTGGGTGGGTCCGAGGCGGGGTCTGGGGCAAGGGCTGCGGAGGGCGCTGCTGGGCGGGTCTGTGGGGCTTGGGGACAGTCCCCTCCCTAGCCCTTCACTGGGATGCCACCCACACTCTCTGGCGGGGCCTTTGCCTACTGCACATTTCTGTAAAAATTGCTGGAATTGCCAAAAAAAGAGCCCAGTTTCAGACGTCAAAATGAACAGTAGGAAAGCCACGAAGAAGGAGAAGCCTTTTTAAGGAAAGACGAAGGACTCAGATGCGGAAGGCAATCATGCCTTGAGAAGTAGAACAGTATCGAAGCCAAGACGAAACTGTAGCCTCCGACGGAAAAGGGTCCCGCCGTGCAGGTGACACAGGTGAGCGTGACCCTTGGTCACCAGCCAGAGAAGCAGCTGCCCGGCCCTGTTGCCTGGGAAGGGCTCGTCTGCAGGGATAGGCCCCCGCCCGCCTGGGGACCCCCCCAGCGAGGCAAACAAACGTGCACGGGGCCCAAGCAGGGAGGCCCAAGCAGGAACAGAGCTTCCGGGCTGACACACTCGCTCCCGTCTCCGGGCGACTCCCAGGGAGCCGCCAGGAAGGGGTCCCGGGGCGCTGGAGCCGAACCCAGCCCCTGCCACCTGCACTGGCACCAGGACCTCGGGCGGCTGCCAGCCGTGGTTCTGGACCAGCAGAGCTGGACAGGCCTCCTTGTCACCGGCCACCCGGACGCTCTGCCACGGAGGCAGAGGCAGAAACCGGAGACAGCTGTGGCCCAGAGGCAGCCGTGGCTGGGCCCTCATCTTCGAGATGCATCTGCACGCTGGCTCTGGGGCGGGGCTGGGTGTCGGGCACACTGGGTGGTGGCAGCAACAGGCACCCGGAGTGGGGGCCAGTGGGGTCCGCCCACCTCGGGTGGGCAGCTGCATGGGATGCCCCTTGGGCTGGGCCTGCAGGGGCTCACACACGCCTGGGGAGATGCATTTCCACACCAGCTGAACCTCGAGAGGCCTCCTCGTGCCCCCAGGCGGACGGCGCGTTGCTATCGCAGCTGCTGTGAGCTGGCTCCTGGGCACTTGGCCCAGCCCGAGCTGGGGAGGCAGGGGCTCTCCTGGGCGTGCTGAGAGGAGCTCGGGCCCAGGGGGCCCCTCTGCTTGGGGTTCACGGGAAGTGGCAGGCGTTGCTTTGCTCCTGGGAGGCATGTGTGCATGGGCCAGCCACGCTGTCGACTCACAGAACCACGGGCCTCCCACCCAAGCCCTGAGAAAGGCAGGCCCACGCGCTGGGTCAGGCCCGGGCAGGCTGGCCACTCACTCACTGACCTGGCTGTCAGGGTGGGGGAAGCGGCCACTGCAGTGAAGACGTGGATCATGGCCATCTTGCAGAGGTCTGCGGCTGAGCCTGTGGGAACAAGAGGTTCTGTTTCACGAACAATGTAAGGTCCAGGGCTCTGCAGCAGGGACTCGGCCAGCACGCTCAGCCGAGCCCCGGCTGTCTTAGTTTTCTATGCTGTGGGACGCAGGACCCCACGCCTCACAGGTTAAAACAACCCAGATCTACCATCTCATAGCTCCTGCCGAGCAAGAACCCAATCTGTGTGGCTGGGTCCTCTGCTTGGGGCCTCACAGCCTGAGATCAGTGTGTGACCCTACCAAGTCCTCATCTGGAAGCTCGACTAGGGAAGACCCACTCCCGAGTGACCCCAGGTCATTAGCAAAATTCATTTCCTTGCCACGCGTGAGCGAGGTTCCTGTGTTGCTGCTGGCTGCTGGCTGTGAGCCGTGCGTCCAGCTCCTGGAGGCTGCGCTGGGTCCTTGCTGTGGGCCCTCTGCCCAACGTGCAGTTTGCTTCTTCACGGCCAGCTGAAGGGCGCCTACTGCAGTGAATCCCGACCCTGACCCCTACATGGTCTTTCAAGGGCCTGCCTGATTAGGTCAGGCCCACCATGGATGCAAACCCCCTTTTGCCTTGTGGCTTGACCTAACCGTGGGAATGATATCACATTCACAGGTTCTGCAGAATCTGGAATCCTGCCCGCTGCACCAGCTAACAAAGTGACCAGGCAGGGGCGTGCACTCAGCCTTCCAGCCACATGGCCTCTTGACTTCATTGTGCTCAGCTTTCCAGTGGATCGAATGGGGTTATGATAGAGCCTCCTAGATTTTGGTAAGGATAAATCACATGTCAGGGCTGTGTTGGGCACTCTGCAAGGTGCTGGCCAGTGTAGGGGACATGCCCATTCCAGTGCCGGGCACACAGCAGGTGTCTCAGTAATGGAAAACAGACTGAAGTTCAGGTTTCATTGTGGTTTGAAATTGCTTTAGCTCTTCGTGTTTCCCAAGGTTCACGAAGTAAAGGTTGTCAGTCCATGGACTGCCTTGCTCCGCTGCAAGGCTAGGCCTTCAGTCTATGGACGTCCTTTTCCTAAAAGTGTGGCAGAAATGCTGGACACGGAAGTCTGGCCTCTGAGACTGCTGCGGTGAGGGGCTTCAGGCGGGATGGGGAGCTGCGCTGGGGCGGGATGTCAGGAAAAGCGCACGGAGCTGGAGAAACAAGGATGGGGAGGCGGGTGGCAAGAGAGGGGCGTGTGGGGGGAAGGGGAGGCCTCAGGGAGGTGCGCACCACACAGCTGGTCTTGTTGGTTGATGGGTCAGAGGCAGAATTTTCTTGTGGGCACTGGCCACTGCTTCCCCTGGCACCTAGTTCAGCTCACACAGACTTCTGTTACGTGGATGGACTGGATGGATGGCAAGTCACTTGCTCAGAGACACACGTGTGCAGGGAGGCCGTATCCACGGTAGCTGGGTGTCCTGGTCGGCTTCTCACACGAAGATATCTCGTGTGCAGGTCTTTCTGGAAGGGCCCTAACATAGCTTCAGCATCACCGAGCACGTGCCTCGCACACATCTAGGGAACAGACACGTGGCTGTGGCCTGACAGCGGCCTCCTACGTGAAAACCCACCATCTCAGGATGTGGAGGGCTGTCACTGTCCTCAGCTCCTGTCCGGCTGGTCACACTGGGGGACGGGACTCTGGAAGACTCTATACTGAACCCAGACCGATCCTCGCAATTGTTCTGTCAGGGGCCACTGAGCCTCCTGCTGTCTGAGCAACGCACGGAGGCTCTCGGAACTCAGTGCTGCCGTGTCCCCCTCTTGCAGGACTTGCGGGGACGTGATCTCCACCCTGCCGCTACTCCAAGCCACCCGCTCCCCGTGGGCTGGGGTCCCTGGCCGCTGTCCTGCCTCAGAAGCCCCCTCTGGGGGCAGGTGGTGGAATCCTGCCTTCAGGCCTCATGTCTGGGCCTTGGGGGCCTCGGTTCCCCCTTTGTGACCTGGCGACATGGACTGCTGACTAGAGGCGGGCTCAGGCCCCCAGGTGTGGGCGTGAGCTCTCTGTGTAGGCACGCCTGACCCTGCTGGGGCCGGAGCAGGGTGGGGTCACCAACGGGATGACGCCTGACTCCAGGCTGCCTGGGGCCTCCCTGGGACAGCTGGTGGCCCACGGTATGTGGAGCCTGGGATTATCGCTCTCCCTCTTCACCTCTACGCAGAACTATTTGAGGGCTGTGGCTAGAGATGGGAGTCTTCATAACCAGGGGCAGACAGGGTGCCGTCATGCTTTCTGGCCGCCTGCTGCTAAGGCTGCGGGATCCAGGAGAGCCTGCTGGGTCTGGAGGCCTTGCTGCAAGGTCTTACTCCTGCCAGGCATGAGGGGCATGGCAGAGAGCCCCAGGCCAAGAGTGCAGGGACTGAGCTCCAGGTCTCGCCCTAGTCCTGGCTGGAGAAACTCCGAAAGCCTCAGTTCCTTATTCAGAGGTCCAGGAGAGTGTCGCCTGGGGGAAAGACCACCATGTCCTGAGCACCTGCTGAGCGCCAAGTGCTACTTCACTCGAGCCTCCTGTGTAACTACCGGTGAGTACAGAAGCAGGGACTAGCATCCGGATAATCTGGGGGGTGTCATTCAGCCCTGCAGCTGCTGAGAGCCCACGGCAGGCGGCCCCAGGCGCTCTGCGTACCTTGCACAACGAAGTTCACGGCCTGCCGCTCTGCTTGCGCCCGGAGCTGCTGGTCTTGTGCGTGGACCCTCGGCAGCGGTCTCCTCCTGCCCATGATGGATGCCACATGGCCTGGGTCACGTGAAGGAGAAGAGGACACGAGGCAGAAATAAACAGGCTGTGCGGCGCCCTGGTGCTCACCTAGCCTCTGTGGGCACGGCCTCCCCCACATGGGGTCCAGGGGCCCTGGCAGGACCCCTCCTCACTGCAGTGCTGAGCGCAGCGGGGAGCTCTGCCCACGGGCCTCCTGGTCTATCTCGGGGCGAGTGGGTTCTGAGGTGGGGAAGCAGGGCAGCTTCCTGGCGGCTCTGCTTTCTGACTTCTGCCTGCAGTCACAGCTGACAGAGGACAGGGAGGGCAGTTTACAAAGGCTGTTAAAGGCCACTTTTGGGGCTCCGGTACAGAAGTAATTCTGAACCATGTGGCAGCTGGGATAGGGAGAAAGGCATTAATCCCTAGTCTACTCAAGGAGGGAGGGGCCACATTCTCACACATTCTCACATAAGTTTGCGGTCCTCTTTTTTTCTTTTTCTTTTTTTAAGTAGGCTCCACACTCTGTGGGGCCCAACACGGGGCTCTATCTCAGGACCCCGAGATCACCACCTGAGATGCTCAACCGCCTGCCCCAAGGTCCTCCTGAAGAAAACGAACACAGGGGCGCCTGGGTGGCTCAGTCGTTAAGCGTCTGCCTTCGGCTCAGGTCATGATCCCGGGGTCCTGGGATTGAGCCCTGCGTCAGGCTCCCCACTCGGTGGGAGGCCGCTTCTCCCTCTCCCTCTGCTGCTCCCCCTGCTTGTGTTCCCTCTCTTGCTGTGTCTCTCTCTGTCAAATAAATAAATAAAATCTTTAAAAAAGAAAAGAAAAGAAAAGAAAACGAACATAAACACGCTGTGTTGGGTGAGTATACTCCTGACCAGTGAGGACTTGTGTTTTATTGGGTGTTGGTAAGATTAAATTCTCCACTCAGGATTTCACACATCTGAGGGTTGGAAGGATTTCCCACATACATCATAATTACAAAAATGACAATGTATGGAGCACTCGCTGTTTGCCAGGCGGTAATATAAAGCCTCCTAATAGTGACGGGCGGTGAGGACAGGGAGAGAGCCCTACTGCTCACGGCAGCCTGGTAGATCTGCCTCGTGTGCCTGCTCCGGCCCCAGCAGGGTCAGGCGTGCCTACACAGAGAGCTCACGCCCACACCTGGGGGCCTGAGCCCGCCTCTAGTCAGCAGTCCATGTCGCCCCCTTGGTGTCTCTTGCCTGTGCTCTCTGTCCATCCCACCTCAGACGCTGGGCAGAGGCCCTGTCCCTTCAGACGGCTCCCCCGGGCAGTGGCTCTGACTTCCACCTCCCCTGCCAATCTACCTCCCACACTCCTGGACCGATCTGTGCAAAGTGAACCCCAGCTTCTTCCCCTGGCTTGTGGTGTGCCACGTAGGGTCTGGGCCACTGGCCTCCTCTCTGGCCTCCGGGCTGCCCCATCCACCTGCCCACCCCAGCACCGCTCCAGGCTCTCCCGGCCTTTCCTGTGGTGGCTCAGATGCCACCCCCAGGGAGGCCGGGGCACACGGTGCTCTCCGGGGGCCTCCCTCCTCCTCTCTCGGCACTGGCATCCCGCTGGCTCCTCGCGCCCCTGCGGTGCCATCTTTCGGACACTGCATGCACTTGCTTACTCGTGGGTTGTTGTGGCTCTTGGACTGTGGCCGTGGGACAGCGAGGAGCTCGTATCACTGCCTGACCCTCAACCAATGTGTGTGGAAGATTTTAATGATCATTCGAGGATCTTTCTGCCCAGAAGTGTACTAGTGGGTTGAAGGGCATGCACACCCACGTACGGCCCTTCAAGAGTTGAGTGCGAGGAAGGGAGGCAGGGGTGGGTAGCGGGGAGCATGGTGGCTCCGGGCTGGAGCTGCCTGGGCGTGGGCCTGCTCCCACCTGTCAGCTGTGTGAACTTGAGAAGCTACTTAACGTCTTGGTGACTCGTTTTCTCCATCTGTAAAATGGGCAAGGATACCACCCTCGTGGAGAACTGCTTCTGTCTACAGCGATTCTGACTCCATATTCTATCACTCTTCTAACATTTCAAAGTGGGTAGTCTTATTTTTCCCTTCGGTGAGGGTGCCGGTGGCCAAGGTGGAGGCTCACCTCCCAGGTCCAGGGAGCTCGCTGGGAACGGGAGCAGTTTGCTGGCTTTCTTGTGCCCCACACCGAGGCTGCAGGGAGCTGGGCACTGAGTGCAGTCAGGGTCCACGGGGACCCCGCCTGGGGCTGCTGCCTGGGCACACGGTCAGGCCAGGAGGCCCCTGGGGAGGGCCCGCCGGGGGCTCCAGAGAGGAAGGTGGCCAGTGGGGCCTGGCAGAGCTGGGACAGCCGGGAGCCCCAGGGAGCCCCAGGGAGCGCAGCACAGCTGTTAGGAAGGCTGAGCCGCTGGCGCTGCTTCTCCTTCCCTACAGCGTGAGGGAGCGCCCCTCTGCCCCCTTCCCTGCTTCAGGATTCCTGCTCCCGCTCATCTCTCTCCTTCCCCTACTTCATTTCACGCGCTGCTCTTTTCCAAACGTCTAGAGTTGACTACAACCCATTTATGTTCACAAATTTCTTTCTTTCTTTTTAAAAATATGCTGTTAAACTATTCCTGTACTTCTAAGTGAAGGATCGGCGTGGCCGTGCCCCACAGTTTTCACGGGACAGTCTCTCACTCTCATTTATTTCTAAGATGTTTGTAATGTTCTTGGGATGCCTTGAGACCGCATTCCATTGTGGTCACATGACATGTTCTAGTTGATAGTCTTTGAAATTTGTGACCACACTGTGGTGAAATTTTGTAAATATACCACGTGCTTTTCGTAAAAACATACGTTCTCCACTTTTAGGTGCAGGGTTGTGTCTCTAGCTGCCCATCTACCATTTTCTGACGCAAGATTCCCTCAAGCAGACCCTGGCTCTGGACCCTTCTCACCCTGGAGCCTAGGGTCCCATTTTCCACTCACCCCATCCCCTCCCATCTGCCCACCACCCCCCACGGAGCAGGGCCAGGAGACCAGGGGCAGCTGCAGGTCATCAGGGAGGGGAAGGGGGGTCTGCAAAGGCTTTGGCTGTGTCTGGCTCACCTGTCTGGTGACACTGGGCAATGGTTGTTTGGACAAAGTCCTTGATTTTCTTGTACTTCTGCAAAAAACTCTCCAAAAACCGGGCAGCCTCCTGCACAGTAACTCCAAGGCAAGCAGCAAGCCGCTCCTTCCCTGTGTGGACAGAAACACTCAAGATCAGAGGCAAGCTCACACCTGTGGGGACCACGAGCCACGCTGCCCGGCAGCGGCCACCACACACAGAAGTGAGCCCACAGAAGGGCCCTTGGAAGACACTGTGAGTCCAGGGTCTATCTCTTCTGATCAGTCAGGATAGTGTTGGTTTTGGCTTTCCAGCTGAGTTCTCGGTGCCGCTCAGCCTAGACTGGTGCCCGTTAAACATTTACTCACTCAACAATACCGGCCGAGTGCCTGGCAGGCATGGAGGTAAAGCTGCAGTAAAGTCCCTCAGCCTGTCCAGAGAGAGAGCTAACTCCAGAACTAGGGGACACTGGAGAGGGGCACAGAGGAAAAGAGGAAGGGAACGTTCCATTGCCAAATCATGAGAAAATGTACTTAGGAGCTGCCATCCTTGAAATTTTCATTTTGAGACCAACACTTCTGGTCCAGACCGATACTTGTTTCCTAGAGGATGCAGGTATTCTTGTGAGTTTTTTTACAGCAGGATCTCTGGTCAGGATAGCACCCGGAGTCCCATTGCAGCCTGTGGGGAGCAGATGCTGAGGCTGCACAGACCTGGGTCTGAGTCCAGCTCTGTCACCCAGGGGTGGCTCTGTGTGGACTTGGGGAAGTTGTGTGACCTGCGATCAACCCTGTTTCTTCACCTATGACTCAAGAACATGAGTCCTTACTCCAGGGTTGTTAAGGGGACACCTCTGGAGGAAAGGGACTTATTGAGCTCAGATCCAATCTTCTCTTTAGCCAGGCCGCCCCTAGCCCGAGTCAGCTGATGTTTTCAGGGGTCTGGACAGAAACTGTTCATATCTTGGGAGAGTGAAGGGGCAGATGTTTTCTTCCACTGCTTGGCTATGGAGAGTGGGAAAGGCTGTGCTCCCCAAAGTCTCTCCCGGCAGAGAGAGCTCTTGGAGCCTTCTGTCCTTGCTCTCACCAAGCTTGCCAGACTATCCCACGTCATTTGGACAGAAACAAAAGAACTCCACTTTCTCTATTAGAGCTTATTGAAGACCATGTGATAGCTTCATGAATATAGTCCACTGAAACAATCCATCTCTAAGGCTTTCTTTCTAGGACATTCCAATCCCTACCCCTCTGCTACGTCACTCTAGTGGAAACCTCCATCGACTTTCAGAAAGGAATCAGATGACGGCTAGACACCCCTGGCACGTCTGGCTTAGTGGAACCCTGAGTCTGCTCCGCTAAGTCCTTTCTCATGTCTAACTACTGTTAAGCTGAGTCAGTGAACTTTTTATTTCTAACATTGTAGTTTTCAGTTTTAGAATTTCCATTTGGTTCTTTTTATTTTCTGGGATTTCCTATTTTTTTTTTCATTCATTACGAGCATGTTTTCCTTTACATCCTTCAGCATAGTTATAATAATATGGCTTTAAAATCCTTTTCTGCTAATTTCAACATCTGGGTCATCTCAGGATTTGCTTCTATGATGGCCTTTTCTTTAGAGTGTGGATCAAATTATCCTATTTCTTCATATGTTTAGTAATTTTGGATTAAATCCTGGATATTGTGAATGAAATGTTGTAGACACCCCAGATTCTATTATGGTTTTTTTTCAGGAGTATTGATTTTTTTTTTTAAGGAGGCAGTTAATGTGGCTAAAGTCAAACTTTGAAATTTGCCCCTGTGCAGTGGGAAGCAACTGAAGTCTCAGTTCAGCCCTTTTAGCCTTAGCTGGGCTGTCTGAAGTCTGCCTACTTATGCATAGTCAGGGGTCAGCCAGAGGTTTGGGCAGAGTTCATACCCAGAATCTAGTGTTCTTTGGCTTCTTTGGCTCTCTTTTTTTCTGAGCGTTTCCCCTCACTTTCCAGATGCTCTGGCTGCTTCAAACTCTGTCCTCTGTTTCTTCAGGCAAGTGAGACTATGGATTTCTGTTGGACTGTTAACCACCCATCACACTGACCGAGGTCACCCTGAATCATTCCTCCCAAAGGTCACTTTTCAGTACCTTTCGGGAGTTGTTTATTATATTTTTTCCATAATTTATAGGTGATACCCGTGGGAGAGGAGTCTGCTGGGACCTGCTTGGCCATTGCTCAAGTCACACTCCTCCTTCTCAGTATGTGTGGCCCAGAAAGGATTCCTTTCCTGTACTGGGTAGAGATGTTGGGAGATCAGAAGTGCAGCGGTTGGCCAAGGTCCTGCACGTGAAGAAGCCTGTTTACCAGAGGAACAAAAAATGCAGTGACTGCAAAGGAAGAAGATGGAGACTGGGAAAGAGATGGAGGGTCTGGACAGTTCTCTGATTCCTGCTCCCGCGCCCTTCCCGTGGGCCTGTCACACTCAAGCACCCAAGCAGGATGGCCGTTGACGCCATGAGGGCCTGTGTTCCATGCTTCACAGAGACTGGCCCCTTTCATACAACTGTCCTCCATGCTTTGGTTCACTTGATGGGGTTTCTGCTCTTTGAGATGTAATCGCAGACAGGCTTGTCCCCCTGAGAGCAAGCACCCCCCTGGTGGGAGCACAACCAGTCCTAATCTCTGAAATCCTAGATGAGCGCGGGATGTGACTCTTCCCACAGACAGCGAATTATGTCATGTGCTTGTGAGCTGCATCTTTAGCTTTAGGAAGACCGTCTTCACTCCCTTTTCTCCAAGTGCTCTTTGGTCCCTCACATTTTTGCTAATAGTTTCTCCCTCTTGTCTGTGGCTCTGGGGCCTAGTGAGTGCCTGGCACATCGTGGCCTCCAGGAGTGCTGGCTGGTCTGACCAGAGCAGCCCCGACTAACTCTCCGCATCCTTCAGAACCGGCAGCCTGCCCCACCTCTCCCGGTTCTACCTGGCACCAACGACTCTGGGGCACTTGTCACTCAGCGCTGTCCTCCCGGGCCCACTTATGCATTTCTGGTGACAAATGTCAGCCCCTAGGAACAACGGTGCCTGCTGATCGAATGTGATTGGACGTGGAGGCAAACTTAAATGCTGAACACCTTGAGGAGAATCAAGGGTTAAATGGACTCCAGGAGCAGTGGGAGCTCAGAGCAAGACCCGAGGGCGTCAGGAGGGGCCTCAGAGGGGCCATGAGCAAGACTGGGCTAGGGTGCATTGTTAGTTGGCAGGTAGCTGACAGAGGGGCAGTGAGCTGGTGGTCACCCCTTTGGGCGAGACCCCTGGGGAACAGCGGCTCTGTGGTCACCACCATTCTGGCAGGGATGGCCCTCCCGGCAGAATCTGGGGGAGGGGTGGGGACCAGGCTGCCCCACCCGTGGGCTGCAGCAGGGCCACACAGATGTGAAGTCCCTCTCGAGCACCTTCTCTGCTCATGTCACAGTCCTGCTTCTCCTCAGCTGTCTCTCACTGTGGTCCTCACGCCGATCGCGCTGACCCAGGAGGTGCCCCCAGCACTCAGAGTAGCAGCTTCCAGACCCCCAGTGAAAACACATCATCGCAACCACGACAGCCAGCTGGTGGGAGGTGTTTGTGCTGCGTTACCAGAGGGCCCCCAGCAGCCCAGGAGACCCGACGGGTTCGTCCGCGGGGAGGACAGCACAGCCGGGTGCCGACACCATGGTAATCTGCCGTGGAGCTGGCCGGGGACAGCGGGAACAGCAGAAACGGAGGCTCGGGGTGGGAACCGTGTCACCATCAGGGCTAAAAGCAGCCAAATTACTCTTTTCACCAACATCACAGCTGATGACTCACTGCTTATTTACCAAGTGGAGCTCTTTTCCTCTCCGGCAAAAATAAAGTGCATACTCCAGAAGGTGCCGAACCGACAGAAGTGAAGACTGACTTGGGTGCATTCTGCCGTCTGCGTGGAGCTGCGCTGAGTGCCCCGCACACTCCCGCCCGTCGCTCGCTCGCAGCTCCAGCTGCGGCCCCACCACCGCACACAGATGCCCATCACTTGGTGCTGTATCTGGGTGCCAGAGCGGCGGCCGACGCCAAAGATGAGAGTCAGCTGGTGCCAGGCACCACTCCAACAAGCCAGCTCCTCACCGACTGGGAGGTGACTAGGGCACAGAGGTGGAGGGTCCTGCAGAAGGTCGCCGATCCGGGAGGGACAGAGTTAGGACTCCAGCCCGGGCTGCCTGCCAGGACGCGGGGGCAACATTCTGCCCGCAGACTCTGGAGCGAGGATGCGAGGCACCAAGATGTGCTATAATTTGGTGGCAGGCTGCCCCTCCCCGACAGTGACCCGGGAAGGTTCGGGAGCACAGCAGAGGGAGGCCGAGCCGAGGAGCCCGACCAGGCCAGTCTGAGTCATCCCACTGTCACCCACTGAGTTCAATTCTTTCAAACAAAGTTTCTTAGCCTGCTTCCCAAAAACCGTACACAAAGTGTTTTCACAAGTAGCGTCAAAAGACTACGCAGTTTGAGAATTTGTTCGGTAAGTATTTATTGAGCACCTGCTGTGTGCTTGGCCACGGGCAGAGCCAGCAGAGTTGCTCTGTGGGGCTCCTCAGGCTGGGAGAGTGGGCGGCGCTCAGGGGAAGCAGGGCGCTTCCTGGAGGAGGAGGTCGAGCCGGGCACTGCACCAGGGACCCAAGCTCGGAAGGGAGAAGACTCTAAAGTGGCCTCCGGGGTCCTGCCCCCTGGGCTTCACGCCCTGGCGTGACCCTCCCTGGGGGGTGGGCAGACCTGCCTCTAAGCAGCGGCACAGCGACCGTCACGGAGGTACTGACTTGGGATCGTGTAATGAGTGTGCAGCACTGTCCTGCTGGCTCTGAAGAACACAGCCACTGTGCGGGGGCTCTGCCTACACTGGGGGCCCCACGTGGCAAGACCTGAGGGCTGCTGATGTGCTCCCTGCTGGAGCTGCCAGTGAGACCACAGCCCTGGAGGCCGACGGACACCCATCATGAATATGTTACCCGGAAACGGGTTGCTGATACAGTGGTCAAGGATGGCCAAGAAGGGCACAGCAGAGCCAAGAGGAAGGCGTGAGGGTAAGCTCTGTGGACTGGGGGAGGGCCTGGGCTGGGAGCCGGGCTGGCCGGCGGGAGGCGCCTTCCAGACCCGTCCCACGCAAGTCGCTCACTCCCCGGCACCACGGTCACATTGCCGAAGTACGAGGTGGTTCTTACAGATAATCGACGACACGCCTGCCCGGATGTTCTTGAGCTGGAAGCCCCTCCCCTTTTGCTGCCTTTCCTTAACTGAACGAATGGTCTCCGTGGCAGGGAGATGAATTCTCCTCAGTGTCTTTGCACAGGACTTGCTGCTCAAACAGGACTGATCCAAAGAAGACGGTCTGCACAGCCAGATGGGCCCTTCCTTCAGGAGGGGCTGGCCGGCCTATAGCCCCTTCTCACCCTCTCCCTTGCTGTCCTGAGGGGACGTGAGGTCCCACTGGTTCAGCATGACATAGAGTGAGAAAAGAGTTTAAACAGAATTTAATAAGCCACGGGCAGGAAGTTGGAGGGAGAGGAAGGGAGGCCTGCTCGGCCTCAGGCCCCGGGTGGTGGGGTGGAGGTCAGGTTAGGATGGGGTCTCCACGAGCATCTCAAAGCCCAGAAGTGGCCCCCAGCACAGCCGTGTGATGTAGGGGTGGGGCTACACGGTCGGGCTTCAGCCCTGCAGCATCCCTCCTGGCTGGGCAACCATGGTCTACAGTCACTTCTGTGCCTCTGTCTTCCCAGCCGGCCAGGCGCTAAGGGAGCTGATGGTGGTCTGACTGGTTTCTGGTGCATCACAGATGTCATCAGCGTTTTGTAAATGACACTCACAAACTCACAGAAGTGAGCTCTGGGGGCCAAGAATGATGTCCCTAAGGCACAGCCACACTTAAACACAGACACAGGACAAGAGCCAGCTCCATTCGGCCTACAGGTGACACCGAGACTGGCCTGCAGCCTACCTGCTCCGTAGACCGCTGAGTACACCACCTTCGTGGTCTGCTCTCTGTCTGCATGTGTCACACGCTCTGGGGCAACGTCCTTCCTGTGTGGAAAGGTGGCATGTGGTCAGGCCCATCAGCGGCCTGTCTGCAGAGGGGGCCGCGTGAGTCCAAGCCGCTTGCCACCCGTCATAGCTCTTTCTCTGCAGGCTCTTAACCATTTCAAACCTGTCCATGGGGAGGGGGAATTCAGCACCTGCACATCTGGCTCGGCACGGTTCTCCGCACAGAGGCTGACGCTGAGGCCTAGCAGGTGCAAGCTGGCCACATTCCCAGGTGTCGCACACCAAAAACCAAAAGTGCTTCCACCAAAGGAGTACAAGCCAACTTGAGGAAAGCCTGCTCCTGGGGCCAGGGGGCCTGGGCCTAGGGGCCCAGTGGACGCCTCTGACGGCCGAGGAGGATAGATGAGCAGCCTCAGCCTTGCCTTGCAGAGATGGAGGGGCTGGTGGGCGAGCCCGTCCTGCGGATGCAGGAACCGCCGCGGTCTGCAGAGGGTAAAGCTGACATGTCGGAGCAGGCCAGGGGCTGGTGGGCGCCTGGAGCCACTCCTCCCTGCCGGCCGCCCGCATGCAGCCTTGCAGCTCAGGTGTACAGGGATCTCTGACAGAGCAGGTGCTTCAGATTGAGGAAGAGGGAAATAGAAAGGGAAAAGGGAACCTGTCCCAATCTTTGTGGATCGGCTCCGCTCTGGGCTGTGGGCAGCGCTGCCGGAGCTTTCACTTCCAGCTGACACTGGGCCTAGACACCAGCCCCAAGCGAGCCTGGGGTCTTTTTGGGTCTTTTCCGAGTGTGTGAGCTGCCCCGGGCATGCACATGGCTCTCTAAATTTTCTGCTGTTCATAGGCAGCCTTGAGTGCCCAAGCAGCTCTTCTTCTTCTTCTTTTTTTTTTTTTTAAGATTGATTTATTTATTCTAGAGGGAGGGAGAGAGAGAGTGTGTGTGCACGAGTGGGAGGGGCAGAGGGAGAGGGAGTGAGAATCTCCAGCAGACTCCCTGCTGAGTGTGGAGCCTGACGTGGGGCTCGATCCCACCACCTGGAGATCACGACCGGAGCTGAAATCAAGAGTAGGACGCTCCACCGACTGGACCACCCCAGCACCTGGTCCCCAAGTTCTCCCCAGCTGTTCCCCGCAAGCTTTCAGTGCTCGGTTATTTGCCTGGCCTGTCATCCTGTGCTTCAAGCAGCTGCATGCTGTTCACCTCACGATGTTCTCCAGCAGTGCCCCCACTTGTCTGCCCCAAGTGAGTTCTGAGTTAGGAGAGACGATGCCTGTTGTCAGTCTGCTGTGAGAACAGACTAGATGCTGATCTTTGCACACAAGGTCTGCTTGCTCCCTCTGAAGCCAGGCACCTGGGTCCCACACGGGGGTGCGCCAAGGGCAAATGCCACAAAGCTCTTCCACGGTCTGCAGTTGCCTTTTTCTTGACTCAGCAATTCCTTGGTTGTTATAAACTGTTGACTGTTTTTCAGAGTTCTGACAAAGTTGGTTCTGACAGTTTTTGCTTGATTTTTTGATGTTTCTGCTGGGGGGACAGAACCTCAGAGACGCCTACTTTACCATGTTCACTGGCATCTAAGAGCTCACTAATTTTTACCACGTGATTTCTAAGTACCAATGTATCCTTTGTGCTTTTTCCACTGTGTTAAGATATTTTGCCCACTTGTTTATCTCACCCTTGAACCTGATATCATTAACAGCTTTATTTAGATGAGAAGCAAAAAGCCAACATGCATTCATGCTCAGAACAAATATGTGTCAACTCCTAGGTCACCGTCCCCCCTCCCTCCCTTTATTTGGGAAATCCTACAGGTGCTCCAAGCCTGCTCAGCAAAGACACTGCTGAAAAACTTGCTGGGACTGGCTTTCCCTGTTTCTTGCCCAGCCCCATCTGTGACAAGGGCTCAGACAGACCCTCGGATGGCAGCTGCAGGGAGGGAAGAAGGGAACGTTTTGGAGCAGGGCGCCCACAACCAAGCACATAGGTGGACCTCTCCTCAGTGCTGTAGAGTCAGGAGTTGTCTGACAAAGCAGCATTAAACTCTCCCAGAACCTGCTTCTTCCCAAAGTGTGACAAGATCCAAACAGCATAATCAATAGATATTATGGACATAGAAAGAAACCATGCTCTGGTAACAGAGAATATACTTTCTTCCTGAGCACATACAGGCACTCACAATAACCCATCATCCATTAGGACACACAGAGAACATCAAAAGGTTGCACAAAGCAGAAATATTAAGATAACATTCTGATCACAGTGCAAGAAAACTAAAAATTAAAACCAAAGCCCCTCCCCCCAAAACAGAACAAAACAAAAAAAAACAAACCAAATCTCATCTACCTAGAAATAAAACAAAAAACACTTCTTTCAGATGACTTTTGGGTGAAGAAAAATACAAACAGAAATTATATAACTTCTACTGAAAGCACTGTATGTCAGACCCAGTGGATTATATTTAAAGCAGTGAGGAGATTTTGTAGCCCTAAACACTTACATAAATAACAGTGAAAGAATGAAAGGACAGTTGGCCCTTGAACAGCACAGGGTTTAGGGGTGCAGATCCCTGCACAGTCAAAAACCCATGTTTAACTTTTGACTGCCCCAAAACTTACCTACTTATAGCCTCCTGTTGACAGGAAGCCTTACCCACATGTCAACACACATTCCACATGTTATGTGTATCATATACTGTATTTTTACAATAGAGTAAGTCACAGAAAAGAAAATGTTATTAAGGAAATCATAAAGCAAGGAAAAACTAAAGAATTATCACAGATAGACGAGACTAAAGAGACATAAAACTAAATGCAATGTGGGATCTCGGACCAGGAAAAGTATATTAATGGAAACACTATTGAAATTCTAATAAAATCTTTTAGTTATTTATTAGTATTAAAAAAAAAAGAAAATCATAAGGAAGAGAAAATACATCTACAGTACTGTCCTGAAGCAAAAAAATCCTTGTGTAAGTGGACCCACGCAGTTCATACCCGTGTTGTTCATGAGTCAACTGTACATAGACTAGGTTTTCAACTCAGAAAATAAGAAAAAGAACAACAAAGCAAATCAAAAGAACACACAGGAGGGAAATAATAAAGCTAGAATAAAGATGGGAACAGAAATTGATGAAGTAGAGAACAGCAAAACACTAGATCAAATTAATAAATAAAAATCCTGGTTCCTGTAAAAAATAGAATAGACAAATCATTAGGTGGTTTAATCAAAAGGGAACAAGCACAGATATACAAAATAAGAAACAATAAAGGAAGGGAACTAAACATATGCAAGAAGTTAAAAAAATCTTAAAAAGTTATTTTGCAGAATTCTATGCAAATAAATTTAAAAACTTGGGTGGACATGGACATTTCTTAAGAAAACACAGTTACAGGGGCGCCTGGGTGGCTCAGTTGGTTAAGCGACTGCCTTCGGCTCAGGTCATGATCCTGGAGTCCCAGGATCGAGTCCCGCATCGGGCTCCCTGCTCAGCAGGGAGTCTGCTTCTCCCTCTGACCCTCCTCCCTCTCATGCTCTCTGTCTCTCATTCGCTCTCTCAAATAAATAAATAAAATCTTTAAAAAAAAAAAAAAAGAAAACACAGTTACAAAAATTGGCCCAGTAGAGACGAAAGTTAAACAGACCAGAGAAGAATATCTAAAGAAGAAACAGAAAATTATTAAGGAACTACCTTATAAAGCCCTCCAGGCCCAGATGGCTTCAAAGGGGAGTTCTATCAAACCTCAGAGACCAGAGAGCTCCTAGCTGTCTAAATTGCTTCAGAGCATAGAAAATGAAGAAAAATGTATTTTACTAAGTATGTATAACAGTTATTCCAAAACAAGATAGAGTATAATAAAGGAAAATAACAGACCCTACCTCCTATGAATATTGATCAACACCTACTCCTAATAAAAACTCTTGGGAAAATAGGAATAGTTGGATACTTCCTTAAAATTGTAAAACACACACCCCAATCCTAAAGCTGTCATTTTACTATATGGGGAAACACCAGAGGCATTCTTACTAAGGTCAGAAGCAAGGCAAGGGTCCTCACTACCTCCAATACTATTTAACACTGTTCTGGAAGTATTAGCCAAATCATCAGAGGCATCAGAATTGGAAAATTTGAAGAAACCTATCTCTAGTTGCAGATGCCAAGGTAGTATTTTGGAAATCCCTAGAGAATCAATGAATTCATAAAGTAGTGGGAAATAAAATTAACATAGCAAGTCAATAGCCTTCATGTACGCCAATAACCACAGAATGAAGATGCAATGGAAGAGAGGACCTCATTTACAACTTCAACGAAAAAGAAAAAATACTTAGGAATAAACAACAAGAAATGTGTCACACCTATATGAGAAACCTTTAAAACTTCCTGAAAGACACAAAAGTAGATGTGATTGAATGGAAAAGCATCCCTTGTTCTTGACTGAAATGTTTCAAGATCATCAAGATGTCAGCTCTCCCTACGCTCATTTGTGTATTTAATGCGATCTCAATAAAAATACCAACAAGCTTTTCCCTGGAACTAGATGCTAACATTCATGAGGGATATAAAGGCTCGCGAACAGGAGAGCCGCCCAGACATTAACACAGGCAGCAAGCTCCGTAGAGTGCGGTGGTTGGTAGGCGTGTGAAGAGCCAGGGCACCGGAGCAGGACAGAGAGCTCAGGGCCAGACTCGACGACGACATGCAGAAATCCCCTGGAACAAAGACGGGATTCCTGGTACATGGTTCTGGGACTGCTGCAGAGTGGTGTGGAGAAGGGCACCAGAAAACACGGCAAGCTCCTCTGTAACCTGGATGTAGGAGAAGGCTTTCTGACCGTGACTTCAAGTCTAGGTGCGGAGAAAGGAAGGGTGGCTAGATCACTGCCCCCGCCACCACCCAAAACGTCTCTTGTGTGGCCTAAGATACCATAAGCGAAGCCAAAAGACAAACAACAAACCAGGAGAAAATATTCATACTATGGATCAGAGATGAAGGGCTAACACCCTAACGAAGCACAACGTTCCCACGGAAGAAGGACGAAAATGG